AATATGGTATTTACATACCTTTATCCAATTTATCCATGCAATTAGAAATGAAAAGGGTGAAATCACAACAGATCCTGTAGAAATCCAGAAAATCACTGCTATCTGCTGGAGAAACTGTATTCCAATAAAATAGAAAACACATTTCTTAATAGTCAGATTCTTACATGCATATGAATTACCAAAGCTAAATCAAGAAAATACAAATATTGTAGTAAAACAATATCAGTTAATGAAATTGAAGATATATTAAAAACCAACCAACAAAGAAAAAAAAGCCCTGGCCCTAATGGCTTCACTGATGAAAGTTAGAGAAGATTTAATGCCACTACTTCTCAGACTCTTTAATGAAATTAAAAGGAAGCAATACTCCCAAATTCATTCCTGGAAGCAAGCATTACCTTCATCCCAAAATCAGAGAAGGACCAAAGAAAAAAAGAAAACTACAGGTGAATCTCCATAATGGACGTAAATGCAAAAAGTCCTCAACCCGATACTATCAAACAGAATGAAGGCAAATCATTAAGAAGATTATACACCGTGACCAAGTAGGATTCATCCCAGGGATGCAGGGGCAGTTCAACATACACAAATCAATAAACATGATACCCCATATTAACACAGCCAAAGACAAGAACCATACAATCATCTCAATAGATGCAGAAAAAGCCTTTGACAAATTCCAACACCCATTCAGGATAAAAACTACAGAAATTAGAATAGGTGGTCTTTATCTCAATTTGATAACAGTCATGTATGACAGACCAAGAGCCAACATCATACTAAATGGACAAAAACTTAAAGCTTTCACTCTAAAACCAGGTGCAATCTTTTAAAATGCACAGCTTGAGTTAATTTGCAAGTGTTATTTAGAATATTTCACTTATGCTTGAAACTGAAATTAGTTTGCACTTTCCTGATTTCAAGCAGTGCATACTGCACTTCCCCTTTGTTCAGTGATTGTTTTATTCCCTGATAGCCCTGAGCTACTCTCTCAACTCTGATACATGAGGTGAGCCAGCCTCCCCCTCCAAACTCTTCTCAAGTTGTGTTTCTGGCACATGGAGGTGTTCATTTTCCTTTTAATCTACTTATTTCAATGAGCATCTAGTTAGAGTATGGTATACATGGTCTTTCTACTCTGGGACTGACATTCTTTTGTCACAGTATTGACATCCCATTTTAGAGACTCAGGGGCAAGCAGCTACCTTCACAATGCTATGGAAAACATCTCTGTGCTTAAGCCCATCAGCACAAAGTAATGGGCACGCTCCTAATTCTTTCATTTGAGTTGTTGAGCGTTTAGCTGTGCTTCTCAGAGAATACTACATTCTATAGCAATTCTAAAAAACCATTCAACAACATTACAATTCAGAAAAGTACGCCAGTCTCTGACACATGTCCTTTGGTATTTTTCCTATCATTCTCACCAAGGTCAGAAATAAAATAAAATTACTACATTAAAATGCATTTTTCAGTACTAAGTTCAGCAGCACATGCTTTGAAGGGAAGAATTCTTTGTTTCTTCTTCTTTCTTTTTTCTTCTTCTTCTTCTTCTTCTTTCTTCTTCTTCTTCTTCTTCTTCTTCTTCTTCTTCTTCTTCTTCTTCTTCTTCTTCTTCTTCACCTGGATCTTCTTCAAAGAAAGCTTTATTTATTTATTTAATTTTATATATTTATTTTTTTTGCTGTACTGGGGATCTAACTCATGACCTCGTGCTTGCCAGGCAGGTGTTTATGCTGAAGAATGCTTTATTGATTAACATTGATAGTTGTATAATTTTAACAGACCATTTCCCATTTATGGAAGATAAAAGAGAAACAATGATTTATTTGCATAAATACATAAGTTTAGATTGCAAGACATTTTTGACTAACTTTACCTATTCTAGGAATATAAATTCAGCACAGTTATACCAAGTATAACATGCATAATTAACTATAAAAAGACCACATTTACTGCAGGTATCTTTTTAAAAATTTATTTCTTTTTTAATTTTTATCAGATTTTATTGGTGTGTTTTAGATAAATATAATAATCACACTCATCATAGAGAATTTGTACCTGTAAATGATATAGCTTTTTTCATTCTGCTCCCTTCAGTCTACTGCATATATCTTGAAATATGTTGCAGTCTGTTTGTTTTTTGTTTAGAATGGTCTTCATTAATTTTCAAGCAAGATACTCAAAACCTGGGTAGTTTTAAAATTCAGTTTGACCGCATGGGAAATACTTCCCAGTATTTCCCAATAACTGGGATCATGTCTTATTAAAGAGTTTCTGCATATCGAAAGAAATCTCCAGCATAGTGAAAAGAAAACCCACAAATTGGGGGAAAAAAATCTTAGTGAACTGTCCTTCAGACAAAGGACTTCTGTCTAGAACAGGTAAAGAATTAAAAAAATCAGACCCCCAAAATTCAAAGACCCAATCCAAAAATGGGCATCTGAGATGAATACACAGCTCTCAGATGAAGAAATACAAATGGCAAATAAATACATGAAAAAAATGTTCAGCATCATTAGTCATTAGAGAAATGCAAATTAAAACCACATTGAGATTCCGTCTCACTCCAGAAAGAATGGCCAGCATCAAGACAACTACCAGCAACAAATGCTGGAGAGGCTGTAGGGAGAAAGGAACCCTTCTGAACTGTTAGTGGGAGTGTAGCCTGGTGCAATCACTGTGGAGATCAGTCTGGAGATTTCTCAGAAAGCTGGATTGGAAGCCCCATTTGACCCAGCCATTCCACTTCTGAGCATGTTCCCAGAAGAACTGAAAACATCATACCGCAGTTGTATATGTGCACCCATGTTTATAGCAACACAATTTGTAATAGCCAGATGTTGGAAACAACCTGTGTCCTTCAACTGAGGAATGGATAAAAAAGATGTCATACTTTTATACAGTGGAGTACTACTCAGCTATAAAGAATGATCACAATTGAGATATTTATAAATAAATGGATGCAAATGGAGACCATACTCATAAGTGAAATAAATCAAACTCACATGTATAAATACCATGTAGTTTCCCTAGTGTAAGAAATGGTAAGAGTACATAAGATTTTATGATAATCATGGTTCCCTGTTATATTGCTTTGAAGTCTTATAATATTTTCATTCATTGGTTGGAATGGTTTTACTCTTTTTTTTATTTTATTATGTGTGATGGTATAAACAACTACTTTGAAGAAAACAAGACATTATTGCAGCCATTGCTGATTTAATCACATCATACTTTTAAGTCCTACCATGCTTTTCTTCTGTTTCCATTGGTCCTACCACGTTGTGTCTTATTTGATTTAATATGTGTGATAGCATAAACAAATCTTTTAAGGAAAATGAGATTATAGTAGCCATTGTTCATTATAGGTTATTTGGTTTTGAATGTCCTGTAATACTTTCATTCTCTTGAATGGTTTTATACTATTTTGTTATGTGTAATACTGTTCTGTGTGAAGATATGTTCAACTATTTCAAAAAAAAGAGACATTAGGGTAGTTACTGTTAATATCCAGTTGTCTTGTTTTGAAGTGCTGTGTTACTTGCATTGTTTTGTTCTGATTTGCTTTGTTCTGTTCTCTTTTGTTTTATTGTCTTTAAGATAAAATAAAATAAAATTCAGTTTGGAAAAAAATAGTCTCGTGCTGTGTTTCTTATCTGGTATTATCATGGCTTTATTTCATGGCCTTTAGAGATTAACACATGACTTGTGTTATGTTTTTAATAGTATTTGTTTATTTACAAAAGGTTTGATAATTCTTTAAGTTTTACTCACTTATTTTTAGAGCAATTGGAATGAATGTTAAGACTCTTGAAGATTTTTAAATCCTTAGTGATTTTGAGAAAGTTTTTACCTTCTTTGCCAAAGTATCTGTCCATGAAGTATGTTTTTTGACATAAAAATTTTTTTCTCTCCTTTTACATTTTTTTTTTGTTTGTTTTTTTCCTTTTTATCGGTACCAGGGATCGAACTCACGACTGCCTGCTTGCAAGGCAGGCACTTATGCCGCTGAGCTAAATCCCCAGCTCCCTCCTTTTACATTTTTAGTTTATTTTTTTCCTCACTCCCTCCCACCTTTCCTCCCTCTGCTTTCTTTGTCATATAGTTTTTTTTCCCCTTCTTTTTCATTTTCCTGTTTCCCTCATTGCTTCTGAGACAGGGGTGTGGCGTGCGGTCTTGTTAGGGAAAAGCAGGGTCCTGGCTGAATTGCACGTGCAGTGTCCTCTGTTTTGGTGTCTGAGTTAGACTAGCCACAAGCCTCCAATATAACCTCCCCCAAAGTAGAAAGATATTCCAATTTATTATGGCTACCCTAAAAGTTAGGCAGATGGTGTGCCATGATTTTTTTTTTCTGGTAGAGATGAAACACAGAGAAGCATTTTATTAAGCAGTCAAGACAAGACTTTCACTCACACACTGAAAAGAGCAGCTACATGCACCCCTGTTGAAGGGCCAGTTCTTGACTCATTGCATAGTTAATGAGTGTGATCATGAACTATATGCAAATAAGATCTGAATAATGGGTTTTTTTGTGGAGTTGTGAAAAGAACCAGACACATAAAAAGCTTTATAAATGAAGACCTAAGGTGGTATTTAAAAGAAGCATTCTAGAATCTAGACTGCTCTGTTTTTTCCTTAAAATGCCATATGGGAAGGTAAAAGGGGCCAATCCCTCTTCCCCATTTGACATCTCCTCTGAATTTGAGTATAAACTTTTTAGGGTGGGGATTTGTTTGAAGGGAAGAAATGCAGTCAAAAATTGTATTGGAGGAGTCCCTGCAAGTTTGGATGTGGGTGTCTGGGTAGATAGCACGTGTGAGCAAACACACACGTGTGTGTGTGTGTCGGTGTGTATGCATTCCTGTGAATGTATTTTCCTGTATGTGACTGTGTTTAGTGTGTGTGAGCATCCGTGTGTGTGTGTGTGTGTGTGTGTGTGTGTGTGTGTGTGTGTTGCCAGTGGGAGAGGCTGTTTCCGCTCAGCCAGTGACAGAGCAGTTAGAACATCACTAATAGTGAGAAAGGAAGCTGGGAAGAGGCTAGGAAGAGAAACAACCGTCCTGTTAACAAAAGCACTGTCCTGTCCCTGCGGACCGACCAGTAGAAGGGAAGGGCAAGCAGTGGCTCTCAGCCAGGGAGCTTGGGCTCCCTGCAAACAGTTGCAGGCATCCCGATCATGTCGTTCTTACGAGGATTCCTTAAGCTTGGCGCTCGGGAAGTTTTCAAAGCCACAGCAGCAGCCTTGGAGCAGAGCAGCAAATGGAGTGCAGTGTGTATGTGAACTTATGTCTAGGTTTTTTTTTTTTTTTTCCTGATAGGTGGGTTAATGGATTTTTAGTACAAAGAGAACTCAAACTCAGCTGACCTGAAAGACTGGAATTTCAGCTCTCTTCCTTCCCTGGGATATTTTTCCTCCCCCTTCCTCTCTAAGCCCTTTAAACCAGATTACTGGGTCAGTGACTCTTATTCAGCTCGCCAGTGCCAAGGTTTCCAGCTTGTTTGGCTTGGAAAAGAAAACCACTACCTGTAAGTATCTGCTTTATGTGATTCCTCTTCTCCTGTGAGTGTTCTATGAGCTGAATGCCAGGCAGGCTGTTTGCTTGGCGCATTATTGTGGAGTAACAATGCAAAAAGTTCACAGAGGCAGTTTGCAAAAGTTTAATTTTTGTGTTAACTCAGAAGGTGAGCAGTATTACTGTTAACCAACCAGACATCAAAACCAGAATTTCTTATTTCTCTTTCGAATATATTTCCAGTGACACGAAGTTAGAGTGTTTTCTCAGCTAAGAGAAATGGCAAAGGAAAGATATGGAAAAAATAACAGAACAGATAATTCCTTTATGAGCCTAGAAATTTAGAAATGATTTGTAGATCCTTTTGTTTTAATTTAGTTATAAGTGGATACATTCTTTAAAAGCACGGTTTCTACATTTTAGGAGTGAGATGATGGGGAGGCAAAGAAATCACTCTGTTGGGAAGTTTTTGTCTAATTTTTAGTTTCCCCTCATTAGTGAGGTCTGACCTAAAGTCTCGGGAGCTTTAGTAAAATCATTTCTTTCAGTTTGGTCACTAAAATCCTTTTCAAGAGACTTAATTTTAGTTTCTGTGTTTTGTTTAGTTTTACTGATGTGTTCAGTCTCGTGTGAATAACAAAGCTTAAAAAGAGCATTTTCAGGGACTGGCTGGTGTTTCTAGGCTGGAAATCTTGCTGGAGACGTTACCCTCGTCATTGAGCTGCTCTTCAGGTTTCTGCTCTGGATAATGATTGTCCTTCTGTGCTCTAGTTAACGAGAATTGCATCCCAGCCCCACCACCCTTCCTGCCTGCTGTGTAACTCTGGGAAAATGCTAACCACCGTCGCTTCTTTTCTCCACCAGGAATTCTCAAAATTTGAAGTGGGTAAGAACATCCCGAGGGCTTGGTGAAAAAGCAGATACCAGACCCCTCGACTAAAGGACTGTAGACCTGAGGTGGGGCCAGGAATCTGAACCGGTGAATCTGATGTGGGCGGCACCGCACTTCAACATTACTCTACATTATCTTTGGCAGTTAAATTCTTGTCAAGTATTTAGTTAACACCAAACCTGGAATCTAAATAATAAGCCTGACCTTGAGTTGATGTTAAACGGTTTACAGGCAACATGGTTTTGCATTCTTGGCTTCCAAACCAGGATTTTTTTTTTAACAACCTCATTGTTTTTCTTTGCTTTTTTGTGGCCCAACTCTGCCTTCCTAGTCCCATGAGTGAGAAAAAATATTGGGTGCAGGTACCTAGGTGCCCTGTTATCTTCCTGTCAGGTGTTGGCTGTTCACCTATTCTCCCTCTCCATGGCTAAGCAACGTTTGCTCTAGTCAACTTAAACCCAGGGATGGTCCACTGAATTATCAGTTTTCTGGGAATGCTTTGATCCCAGGGCTAGAGTAACTGAATTCTTGGAATAGGTCAGGAGAAATCTTATCCCTAGAAACTCAGTTTATATTGGGCCAACAGGGATTGAAGGAACATGGAATGAAGAAACAGAAATGGTTTACCCATCACTTTGAAAGTCCTCCTTGAACAAAATCTGAAAGCCAGACTCTGCTGCTATCCCATCCCTGCATTTTATGGCATTTAGTAGTTCCAGAAAAAATAAAATGCGAAGTGGATTTTAAAAGCATTTCCTTGCTTCTTTCTCCTTGCTACCAGAATTTGGGGGTACCTGCTACATGCCAGGCTCAGTGTTGGTTTCTAAGGGTTTCTAAATGAACAACATGAATGGTACAGACATTTGCAGTTTTAGCTGTTGCCAACCAATCTAGGATGAACCACTTAATTAACTGTACTTCCTCTGTCAGTAAAAGGAGCTGGGTTAAATGACTTTGGGTATCATTCTAGCTCTGATATCCTGCAGTGGTCTTTTAAAAGCAGGCAGGGACATAGAATCTTTTTAGTATTTGCTTTGGGTGCAGATAGGCCCAAAGACTTAGTTTACTACTTTATTTTAAAAATTTAAGTTATATCTGTTAAATTTTCTGCCTCTCACCAAGAGCCAAGACCACCCATTTACTGAACAGATGAATGTCACTTTTTCAGCATAGGCAGCCTCTGTCTCCCGGGATCCTGTAACCCCTCAGAAAGGTTGTTTCTCTAGGCCAGGTCACTGGGGAGGGCAGCACTTTATCTTGTCTGGATCTGATGTTGCTGCCTCTTGGAGAGCTGGGTGGTCTGACCGAGCTTGTTGGTTTCCACAGTGCACAGCCTGCAACCTGACCCTTTCATTCAAATCACTACACAGCTTTTGTGTAACCAGGTGAGAGGCTCAAATAGAGGCCTTTGAGGGGCTGGGAAACACAAAAAGCTAACAAAAAACTCACTCCCTAATGAAATCTTGTCTGCATTGCATTTTGTCTGTGAAGTGGCTTCTATTTGGGCATTGAGAGATGAAAGATCTGTGTGCTTTTCTGACAAATGTAGCCGCAAGCTGTCCTAAAATGTCATGTTTGGGTGGGAAACTATTGGTCAGAGGACAAGAAAGGGATCTTGCAAAGTCAAGATTTTTTTTTTCCCTGTGCTGGGGATTGAATCCAGGGCCTTGCACAGAGGAGGCAAGTGCTTCTCTGTGGCGTCATGGCACCAGCCCTAGATGAAGGTTTTAAGTTGGTATTTTAAATTGAATGTTCCTCAACCTTCATTGTTAAGTTTTTACAAGAGAAGACAAAAATAGTTTTTATTTTCACCCTCATCCTTCCCTATTTTTATGGGTTTGATGCTATTTGGAAACGTGTATTAAAAGATGATGCTCAAAATACTCCTTTCGTGTGTCACCCAAAAGCTGCTAAGGTTATATGTCACTTTTCACTCTAAACTTCGTTCTTGCAACTTTCCTATCTGGTTTCATAGAGACAGGGGCTGATAACTACTCTAAGGCTCAGCAAGAGGCCTTCCACTGGGTGTTCTAACTCTCTGGGACCCATCTCTGCGTTCCATCAGGTGTCATCAGCTGCTCAGTGCTTACAAACACTCCCTGCATGCCTCTCTTAAAATAAGTGAGCCATATCTTTGTCTCATGAGCTTAAGCTCTATACCATGGTATCTTCTTTCCAAGGCTTCAATATTTGGTTAGCGAAAAAAAAAAAATTAGTTTTTGTGAATTATAGAACAAAAATCATTATAAACTTGGAACATTTCAGAAAGGATAGAAGTCTCTAGATGAAGATATATCCAAATATTTTAAAGTTTTGGGGTATTTACTGTCAAAACCCTCTCATAGCCTGAATTTGTCTTCCCTACTTAAAAGTGACCCTACCACTTAGAAAGACAACACAGCAACAATATAACAGCAATACTTTAATTCTGTTTTATGTAAACTTTTTGCTCTGTAAAATGGTAGGAAGTTTCCTCCTGTTTCTCTATAACATGGTAGGAAGGTTCCATTTCATTTAATAAACATTAGTGATTATTTTGAAACTAAATCATAGTATTGATACAAGATCCTGACTGATAAATCAGAGAGGTATAGTAGAAAAAAAAAAAAAAGAATGGCCTTTAAATACTTTTCGAGTAAGTACTAACCCTGGACTTTGGTTCTATAACATAACAAGTTTGCTAGCTTCCTTGGAAGTAAAACGAGGGTATTAATATTTACTGGGTGTTTGCTCATGGTGAAATGTGTATAAGCACTCAATAAATAATTCTTTTGGAGAAGACAAATATAGGGCAGAAGTTGGAAAGAAGGAAACACACCGCAAGTTTCCTAATTTATAGGTGAAAAGTAAAAAAGAAACATAATACATTTCCTTCTCAGTCCTATTTCTTGGTTATAGCCGATCTCAGTACTTCTCACCTTTCCTCGGCCTCAAGCTCTGATCAGCAGCCTTGTTCTCACTTGATTCTTTCCCATAGTTTGAGTTGCCTGAAACAGACCCATGAACTTACAACTGTTAAGGTGACTCCGTGTGGAGAGCCAAGGGCAGTGTGCAAATCCTTCTGCCCTCATTTCTTCTTGATTCTCAGGATTTAAGACTTTTATATTTCTTTCAGGTAAATACATAAAGGGATGGGTCTTTTTTGCCTTCAGATTTTATTCCATGTGTCAAGAGACTCAACTGGAAGGGGAAATGTTTGTTTGAGAACTTGAACCCTGAAGTTGAACCATAGTGAGCCTGTGTACGGTCACCAAGTGGAAAAACTGCTATTCAAACACACAGCTTGTTCTATCTCTCCCACCATTTTTTCGTTACAAATCTGATGTTTGCTTTGGGTTCAGGCACTCAACTGATACCTTCTGGGCTTCTCTGTGCAAGACTCAATGATCAACCCTAGAGACACTTGGATGACCAGAATAATCATGATTTTTATCTTTAAGGAACATATACACTGGGGGGGGGGGATGTAGCTTTAAAAAAAGCTACAATAAATAATAAAATGCCTGCAAATGTGCAGCATTGCAGAATTCTATGTAGGCAGATAAAACTGTGGTGGGAGGTTGAGCCATGAAAGGCAGGGATAGAATTTAGCCAGGCAAATGGGATGGCTGGCGGTGTGGGAAAAGTCTACTCACCACCAATGGCACAGCACAGCTTACGAAGGTTACAAAGCCTCAGAAGCTGGCATGGGCAGTGCACAGTGTGAAAGGAAGGCTGATGTCTGGCTTGACGAACACATCCAAGGCCAGGAGGGCAGCAGGGCAAGGACATTTTGGAATAGTGGGAGGGGACAACCAAGCAGGGAAATCCAGCTTATAGTTAAAAGGGGTCCCTGAAAGCACATAGTCTGCATTCCTCCCCTAAACAAAAAGCCCTGCCCTGTGTTTTTACCCCTAGGCAGCACCTAGGGAATATTTTCTTTCTGGAAATAAGTTGAAATTTCGACTCTTTCTTCTTGATTCAGTACTCTGGAACCGTAGGCTAAAGTCACTCCTTCTTCAGGTACCTGATTTCAGTCCTTTCCTCTTTCTCTGTCTCTCTGTCTCTCTCCTTACATAAAATGCTGCCAAAACAGATCTGCTTTTTCTCCTATACATATGCAGTTAATTTTTGGAAATACA